CTGTAGATCGCTGGATCGGTATATCGTTGGATCTATACATCGCTGGATCGACAGATCGCTGGATCGGTAGTTCGCTCTATCGGTAGATTGCTGGATCTGTAGATCACTAGATCTGTAGATCGCTGGATCGGTAGATCGATGGATCTATAGATTAATGGATCTTTAGATCGCTGGATCGGTAGATCGATGGATCTAAAAATCCCTGGATCCATAGATCGCTGGATCTGTAGATCGCTCTATCGGTAGATTCCTGGATCTGTAGATCACTGGATCGGTAGATCGATATATCTTTAGATCGCCGGATCGGTAGATCCATGGATCCGTAGATCGATAGATCTATAGATAGCTGGATCGATAGATCGCTTTATCGGTAGATCGCAGGATCTGTAGATCGCTGGATCTGTAGATCGCTCTATCGGTAGATTGCTGGATCTGTAGATCACTGAATCAGTAGATCGATATATCTTTAGATCGCCGGATCGGTAGATCGATAGATCTATAGATCGCTGGATCGATAGATCGCTTTATCGGTAGATCTCTGGATCTGTAGATCGCTGGATCGGTAGATCGATGGATCTATAAATCGCTCTATCAATAGATCGCTGGATCTGTAGATCGCTCTATCGGTAGATTGCTGGATCTGTAGATCACTGGATCGGTCGATCGATATATCTTTAGATCGCCGGATAGGTAGATCCATGGATCCGTAGATCGAGAGATCTATAGATCCCTGCATCGATAGATCGCTTTATCAGTAGATCTCTGGATCTCTAGATCGCTGGATTGGTAGATCGATGGATCTATAAAGCGCTGGATCGATAAATCGCTGGATCGGTCGATCGCTGGATCTGTAAGTCGCTGGATCGGTAGATCGATGGATCTATAGATCTCTGGATCTGTAGATCGGTCTATCGGTAGCTCGCAGGATCTGTAGATCGCTGGATCTGTAGATCGCTTTATCGGTAGATTGCTGGATCTGTAGATCACTGAATCAGTAGATCGATATATCTTTAGATCGCCGGATCGGTAGATCGATACTAGATATCTAGCGACCTAGCTATCTAGCGAGGATCGATAGATCGCTTTATCGGTAGATCTCTGGATCTGTAGATCGCTGGATCGGTAGATCGCTGCATCTATAGATCGCTGGATCGACAGATCGCTGGATCTGTAGACCGCTCTATCGGTAGATTGCTGGATCTGTAGATCACTGGATCGGTAGATCGATATATCTTTAGATCGCCGGATCGGTAGATCCATGGATCCGTGGATCGATAGATCTATAGATCGCTGGATCGATAGATCGCTTTATCGGTAGATCTCTGGATCTCTAGATCGCTGGATCGGTAGATCGCTGGATCTATAAAGCGCTGGATCGATAAATCGCTGGATCGGTAGATCGCTGGATCTGTAAGTCGCTGGATCGGTAGATCGATGGATCTATAGATCTCTGGATCTGTAGATCGGTCCCTCGGTAGCTCGCTGCATCTGTAGATCGCTGGATCGGTAGATCGATGGATCTATAGATCGCTGGATAGACAGATCGCTGGATCTGTACATCGTTCTATCGGTAGATTGCTGGATCTGTAGATCACTGGATCGGTAGATCGATACATCTTTAGATCGCCGGATCGGTAGATCCATGGATCCGTAGATCGATAGATCTATAGATCCCTGGATCGGAAGATCGCTTTATCGGTAGATCTCTGGATATGTAGATCGCTGGATTGGTAGATCGATGGATCTATAAAGCGCTGGATCGGTAGATCGCTTGAACCGGAAGTCGTTGGATCGGTAGATCGCTGGATCTGTAGATCGCTGGATCGGTAGATCGATGGATCTATAGATCGCTCTATCGATAGATCGCTGGATCTGTAGATCGCTCTATCGGTAGATTGCTGGGTCTGTAGATCACTGGATCGGTAGATCGATATATCTTTAGATCGCCGGATCGGTAGATCCATGGATCCGTAGATCGATAGATCTATTGATCCCTGGATCGATAGATCGCTTTATCGGTATATCTCTGGATCTGTAGATCGCTGGATCGGTAGATCAATGGATCTATAAAGCGATGGATCGATAAATTGCTGGATCTGTACATCGCTGGATCGGTAGATCGATGGATCTATAGATCGATGGATCTTTAGATCGCTGGATCGGTAAATCGATAGATCTATAGATCGCTGGATCGATAGATCGCTGGATCTGTAGATCGCTGAATCTGTAGATCGCTCTATCGGTAGATTGCTGGATATGTAGATCACTGGATCGGTAGATCAATATATCTTTAGATCGCCGGATCGGTAGATCCATGGATCCGTAGATCGATAGATCTATAGATCGCTGGATAGATAGATCGCTTTAACGGTAGATCTCTGGATCTGTAGATCGCTGAATCGGTAGATCAATGGATCTATAAAGCGCCGGATCGATGGATCGCTGGATCTATAGATCGCTGGATCGGTAGATCGATGGATCTATAGATCGCTAGATCGATAGATCGCTGGATCCGCAGATCGCTCTATCGGTAAATTGCTGGATCTGGAGATCTTTAGATCTGTAGATCGCTGGATCGGTAGATCGATAGATCTTTAGATCGCTGGATCGGTACATCGATGGATCTATAGATCGCTGGATCGATAGATCGCTGGATCTGTAGATCGCTGAATCTGTAGATCGCTATATCGGTAGATTCCTTGATCGGTCGATCGATATATCTTTAGATCGCCGGATCGGTAGATCCATGGATCCGTAGATCGATAGATCTATAGATCCCTGCATCGATAGATCGCTTTATCGGTAGATCTCTGGATCTGTAGATCGCTGGATTGGTAGATCGATGGATCTATAAAGCGCTGGATCGATAAATCGCTGGATCGGTAGATCGCTGGATCTGTAAGTCGCTGGATCGGTAGATCGATGGATCTATAGATCACTGGATCGGTAGATCGATATATCTTTAGATCGCCGGATCGGTAGATCCATGGATCCGTAGATCGATAGATCTATAGATCCCTGGATCGATAGATCGCTTTATCGGTAGATCTCTGGATATGTAGATGGCTGGATTGGTAGATCGATGGATCTATAAAGCGCTGGATCGGTAGATCGCTGGATCTGTAAGTCGCTGGATCGGTAGCTCGCTGGATCTGTAGATCGCTGGATTGGTAGATCGATGGATCTATAGATCGCAGGATCGACAGATCGCTGGATCTGTAGATCGCTCTATCTGTAGATTGCTGGATCTGTAGATCACTGGATCGGTAGATCGATATATCTTTAGATCGCCGGATCGGTAGATCCATGGATCCGTAGATCGATAGATCTATAGATCGCTGGATCGATAGATCGCTTTATCGGTAGATCGCAGGATCTGTAGATCGATTGATCTGTAGATCGCAGGATCTGTAGATCGCTGGATCTGTAGATCGCTCTATCGGTAGATTGCTGGATCTGTAGATCATTGAATCGGTAGATCGATATATCTTTAGATCGCCGGATCGGTAGATCGATGGATCGGTACATCGATAGATCTATAGATCGCTGGATCGATAGATCGCTTTATCGGTAGATCTCTGGATCTGTAGCTCGCTGGATCGGTAGATCGATGGATCTATAATGCGCTGGATCGGTAGATCGCTGGATCTGTAGATCGCTGGATCAGTAGATCGATGGATCTATAGATCGCTCGATCGATAGATCGCTCGATCCGGAGATCGCTCTATCGGTAGATTTCTGGATCTGTAGATCACTAGATCTGTAGATCGCTGGATCGGTAGATCGATGGATCTATAGATCGATGGATCTTTAGATCGCTGGATCGGTACATCGATGGATCTATAGATCGCTGGATCGATAGATCGCTGGATCTGTAGATCACTGGATCGGTAGATCGATATATCTTTAGATCGCCGGATCGGTTGATCGATGGGTCAGTAGATCGATAGATCTATAGATCGCTGGATCGATAAATCGCTTTATCGGTAGATCTCTGGATCTGTAGATCGCTGGATCGGTAGATCAATGGATCTATAAATCGCTCTATCAATAGATCGCTGGATCTGTAGATCGCTCTATCAGTATATCGCTGGATCTCTAGATCGCTGGATCGGTATATCGATGGATCTATAGATCGGTGGATCGATAGATCGCTGGATCTGTAGATTGATCTATCGGTAGATTGCTGGATCTGTAGATCACTCGATCGGTAGATCGATATATCTTTAGATCGCCGGATCAGTAGGTCGATGGATCCGTAGATCGATAGATCTATAGATCGATAGATCGCTCTATCGGTAGATCTCTGGATCTGTAGATCGCTGGATCGGTAGATCAATGGATCTATAAAGCGATGGATCGATGGATTGCTGGATCTGTACATCGCTTGATCGGTAGATCGATCGATCTATAGATCGCTCGATGGATAGATCGCTGGATCCGTAGATCGCTCTATCGGTAGTTTTCTGGATCTGTAGATCACTAGATCTGTAGATCGCTCTATCGGTAGATTGTTGGTTCTATAGATCGCTGGATCGATAGATCGCTGGATCTGTAGATTGCTCTATCGGTAGATTGTTGGTTCTGTAGATCACTTGATCGGTAGATCGATATATCTTTTGATCCCTGCATCGATAGATCGCTTTATCGGTAGATCTCTGGATCTGTAGATCGCTGGATTGGTAGATCGATGGATCTATAAAGCGCTGGATTGATAAATCGCTGGATCGGTCGATCGCTGGATCTATAAGTCGCTGGATCGGTAGATCGATGGATCTCTAGATCTCTGGTTCTGTAGATCGGTCTATCGGTAGCTCGTTGCATCTGTAGATCGCTGGATCGGTAGATCGATGGATCTATAGATCGCTGGATCGACAGATCGCTGGATCTGTAGATCGCTCTATCGGTAGATTGCTGGATCTGTAGATCACTGGATCGGTAGATCGATATATCTTTAGATCGCCGGATCGGTAGATCCATGGATCCGTAGATCGATACATCTATAGATCCCTGGATCGGAAGATCGCTTTATCGGTAGATCTCTGGATATGTAGATCGCTGGATTGGTAGATCGATGGATCTATAAAGCGCTGGATCGGTAGATCGCTGGATCTGTAAGTCGCTGGATCGGTAGATCGCTGGATCTGTAGATCGCTGGATCGGTAGATCGATGGATCTATAGATCGCTCTATCGGTAGATCGCTGGATCTGTAGATCGCTCTATCGGTAGATCGCTGGATCTGTAGATCGCTGGATCGGTAGATCGATGGATCTATAGATCGCTGGATCGATAGATCGCTGGATCTGTAGATTGCTCTATCGGTAGATTGTTGGTTCTGTAGATCACTCGATAGGTAGATCGACATATCTTTAGATCGCCGGATCGGTAGATCGATGGATCCGTAGATCGATAGATCTGTAGATCCCTGGATCGATAGATCGCTTTATCGGTAGATCTCTGGATCTGTAGATCGCTGAATCGGTAGATCAATGGATCTATAAAGCGCTGGATCGATAGATCGCTGGATGTCTAGATCGCTGGATCGGTAGATCGATGGATCTATAGATCGCTCGATCGATAGATCGCTGGATCCGGAGATCGCTCTATCGGTAGATTTCTGGATCTGTAGATCACTAGATCTGTAGATCGCTGGATCGGTAGATCGATGGATCTATAGATCGATGGATCTTTAGAACGCTGGATCGGTACATTGATGGATCTATAGATCGCTGGATCGATAGATCGCTGGATCTGTAGATCACTGGATCGGTAGATCGATATATCTTTAGATCGCCGGATCGGTTGATCGATGGATCAGTAGATCGATAGATCTATAGATCGCTGGATCGATAAATCGCTTTATCGGTAGATAAATATAGCTATATTGAGTGTCGACGTGAACCATGGCGGACGGACGTGAACCTTCTGGTCCCGTTTTGACGAAAGATACCGAGTCTTACCAGCTTAACCTTAAATGGTGCGAATTACAATCCCTTAAGCTAAACGGGGAACGATTAACGTGGACGAATAACCTTGAATCGTTAAAGAATTTTGTGGAAAATGGCTTGAAACTACAAGGAAAGTGGTCGTCGCCCGGAGGAAACGTAAAGCAATTCAAAAGTTCTAACAATAATCTTGTCATCAACTGGTATAATAAGAAACAGCTAACCCTTTGTTTCCAAGGTCGAGATGGTCCCTCCTTAAAGGACAAGTTGGTCAAGTTTATTCAAAATAAACAGGGAACAGAAGCTGATACGCCTGTCTCGTATGCTTCAACAACCGAGCAAGAAATTCCGCCTTCGCAAGAAGCCAATGGCATCTGCAGTAATCGACTAGCTTCGGCCGCCGACGCCGAACTTGAGAACAGTATTCAAGAGCGATCGAACTCGGTTATCAGTGCTGATATTGAGGGCTTAAAACTGGATTTACTAATTCTTCAGAAAAAGGTTGAAGCAAATACAAGCCTTCTGTCGACGAAATGCAAATTACAAGAAACCGCTTTTAGCGCCGAGCTCCTCGATTACAAAGAGAGGTATGAGAAGGTGTTATCGACATTATCTAAAAAAGATAATGAAATTGAGGTGTTGGAGGAAAAGTGTTTTTCCTATGAGAGCCAAGTTTTGTCCTTGCAACAAGAAAATGATTCTCTTAAGCTGGCAATGAAGATCATTATGCAAGAAAGAAGCGAGGGCGAATGCCGCCAACAAAAGATATGTGATTGTTGGTCCCAAGTGGGCACACTTGGGAAAAGTGTGAATGATAAACATATCCAACGGCCGTTGGCGGCCTGCAATATAGTAACTCAGAACAGATTTGAGCCCCTTAGAAGTGAGGTACAATTCCAAGTGAGAAATGAGGACAACTATACTGCAAATAACGAAGAAAGTCGCCAACAACAGCAACAGCAACATTCACATGTTGATTCATCTGAAGCGAGCCGGGCATTTGATTCAATTCCAACTAGTCATAACCGCTATCAGGCCTTACTTGTCTCTTCTCCTTCGAGTCAAGTATCCTCTGAGATGCCACTGCATCAGTCTGGAGCGCACGCAAATACCTCTCGAGTTAGTGCAAATAACTCCAAAAGCGGTGAAGTCGGAAAGACAAGACCCATAGTGCTTATTGGTGACTCAATGATAAAACACATTGATCCAAAAAAGCTTTCGCAAAGACATGTACATAAATTCTCATATCCCGGGAAAACCACTGCTGAAATAGCTGAAGCTGTTGACAACATCGCTGTTGCATCCGCGGATCCTTCTCACGTCATCATCCATACTGGCACCAACAATCTTCCGTCGGAGTCTGCCGATTCATGTGTCGCCGATATCAAGAGCCTTGTATTGAAGGTGAAGAGCAAGTTTCCTAACTCAAGCATTGGTCTCTCGGGTATAGTCTACAGAGAAGATATCAACGTCGATGCTAAACGCATTGAAGTTAATGAGAGGGTCAAGCTCACAGCAGTAGATAATAACTTTACTTATATTGATAATTCGGTTATTGACGCCTCAGCATTAAATGGTAGTAGACTTCATCTGAATGCCAAAGGTTCGTCATTGCTGGCCGTGCAATTTATTAAGTTTTTAAGATCTGGTTCTGGCAAGTATAATCAGTCTCTTAAGGGTTTTCAGTCCTCAGCTATCCAACAACTGGTAAAGCTTCTGATGGAACTGGGAAACCTTCCCTCTCCAGCTCGCAACAGGAGACGCCCACGCTAGCTTCTCAACCGAGTGACGTATCATCAGGTATTCCTAATCAAAACGTTGATTCATTTGAAAGTACAATTCTCTCTGATTTTCTTCCTTCTGGTCGTGGTTTTAAAATTGCAGGTTTAAACATTAATAGTCTTACAAAGCATATTGATGAACTAAGAATTCTCCTTGCCGATCGCTCCATTGATATTCTCTCAATTAATGAAACTAAACTTGATGACTCTATCAATAGTTGTGAGGTCCAAATACCAGGCTATGAATTTATTCGTCGTGATAGAAACAGACAAGGAGGAGGAGTAGGTTTTTATATAAAAACCTCGATTAATTTTGGAGTTCGCTCTGATTTGAATGCACCCAGTCTTGAAAATTTATGTATAGAGATTCGGAAACCAAACTCCAGGCCATTTCTGATAGCCACTTGGTACAGACCTCCTTGCTCCTCAATTGATTTATTTTTACCTTACGAATCATTTCTTGAGAAATTAGATTCCCTCGGCCTAGAATATTATCTGCTAGGTGATTTAAACTGTAACCTGGCCTCTGCACAATATGATTTAAATACTCGACGCTTATGTGAAATTTCTGATTTATTTGGGCTTCAACAGCTTATAACTGAACCTACTCGCATAACGGAATCCTCTTCAACATTAATTGATTTAATTTATACAAACTATACTGACAGGGTAGTCTGTTCCGGAGTCTCTCATATTGGTATCAGCGATCATAGCCTTATTTACGTTTATAGGAAATTATCTCTCACTTTTCCTTCAAAAGGGCACTCAACCATTTCTTATAGAAATTTCCAAAATTTTAATAGAGAGAGTTTTCGGAACGATATCGCCCAGCAAGACTGGTCCTGTAATGTTTCTGAAGATCCAAATGTTTTGTGGACTAACTGGAAAACGAAGTTTTTGGATATTGTTAATATTCATGCGCCACTCCGAACTAGACGTACTAGAACAAATAAAGCACCCTGGATCAATTCAGAATTAAAGAAAGGCATGCGTGATCGTGATGCTGCCAAAAGAAAAGCAATTACATCGAATGATCCACACGATTGGAAAAGGTACAAAAAGTTGCGAAATATAATAAACAATGACATCAAAATTTCTAAAGCATCTTATTATTCTAATGCATTTATTCAATCTAAGGGTAATCCTCGAAAAACGTGGCAAACCTTTAATGAGCTTACATCCCGTCGTGTGAATAATACAACGGTGAAGGAACTGAAATTGAATGATACCATTATCTCTAATTCTAGTGAGCTTTCTGATGCTTTTAATGACCATTTTTCAACAATTGGGCCCAGACTTGCTAATGAAATACCTCTAACTGCTGAAAATAATTCAAGTTATATCAATAATATAAAGGTAAATAACAACAATTTCAGCTTCT